GACTTAAGGCTAATCGGGGCAACCGAGAGGCGAAGGCTCCACTGCAGCACCTGGCCGGGGGGGGAAAACAGCGGGCCTTACGCGAGAAGACATGCCGACCTTACGCCGCGGTCCATGCGGGCCGCCAGCGCGGCACACCGCGTGGAGAGGAGGGCGCTGACGCGCGACGCGAAAAGCTCACGCGCGAATGTCCGCACACTCGGCCCCTTTTGCTTCCGTCGCTCAGTTGGCGGCGCGCGCAGGGCTGTAGGTCTCCAAAGGTTCTATCGCCTCGGGATGCTCTCCAAGAGCTGCGCCTCGCCGCGGGCCTTCCAAGGGTGCATGGATCGTCCCGAACGACAGCCAGAGGCCAGAGCTACGGTCGGACCTGGGATATAAGAATATCCCTCAATAACATGAGACCCTTCACCGGCGCAAACACCCCAAACCATACGGTCACTCGAAGGTGCCCCCCCCAAAAAAAACGCAAGAACACCCAAACCAACACGAAGAACATTAGGGCACGCTCCCCGAACCGGCCTGGCTCTTACATCCGCGGCGAGGGAGTGGGGAAGTGAGAAGGAGAAGGCCTTCTCAGAAGGAGGCGGGACATTTAAGAAGCCATCGCACCTTCCGAGAAGTCTGATATGTCTCCAGGGCAGGCTTGGGAAACCTCCCGTAAGGCCGGGGGACCACCGAGCCATCTGAGAGTTCCTTCTCCTTCACGCTTGCCCCCTGGGCTGCCGAATTTTGTTTTTGGGTCATAACTCGGGTTTCCTGCGGCAGGTCGGCACGATCCCACCGCGCCAGGAGCGCTTCCGACGAGGCGTAGCCGCTGGAACGCAACACGAGGCTGGAAAACCGCATTAGACCTCGCTCCCCCCCCCGCGCTCGCCGCCGACTATACCCCAGTCCGACCGTAGCCGGCTTACTTTTCCGCAGCCCTCCGCAGCCCTTTTATTGGAACGCAGTTCCCATTGCCCAGGAAGTTTCGCGGGGGCGATAGCGACAACCGAACAAACAGCGCGGCGCGATCGAAGTCCGACCGCGGCCCGAAACGAGACGAGGGCGGGCGTGAGGCGACGAGGCAGCGTCGCCTCAGCCCCGCCCCCGCGCACCCCCACCTCTGCAGGGGCGGCGCGTGCGAGGGCGCCCCCCCTCCCGCCCCCACGATGGAGAGAGGCGCGGATGGCCCCCGCATCTCAGCGCGGCCCGGGCCTGAAATAGTTCTCGAGCTTAATTGGTTGCAAAGGAAGCGGGGGCGGGGGGGTAGAAGGGCGACGGAGGGGGGCGCTGCGTGGGGAGAGAAGAAGACACACCAGGCACTCTCTCACGCACCCTTCTCCCGCGCCCCCCCCCCCCTTGCCCGACGTCGCCGCCGAGCCCCCCTCGGGCGCCGGGGCCCCCGCCTCCCTGGCCGCCCATGAACGCGTCGCGACGTCGCGCTGCAGCTGGGCGCCAACAGCTGCGAGCGCCCCATTGACCCTGAGCACCTTCAGCGCCCCCTTCAGCCTCGGCCAGAGGTTCGCCGCAAAGGTCCACGTCACCTCTGCTTCCCCGTCCTCGTCGTCTCCGCCGTAGGTCTTCGCCCTGAAGCCATGCGCATCAGCACCTCGAGCGCCTGCTTTGCCTCGATCGGCTCCACGCCCTGCTCCGCGGCCGCCGCCGCCTGTTCCTTTTTGACGTCCACTGTCTCTGCCATTCGGAAGAT